TGGTCTCAGTTGATTCTCTTGCCTCAGCCTCCCAAGTAGCTGGGATTACGTGTGCCCTCTTATTCCGGCTGGTCTCAAACTCCTGAACTCAAGCAATCTACCTGCCTTGGCCTCCCAGAGTTCTAGGATTACAGGTGTGAGCCACTGTGCCTGGTCTATTGTTCACTCTTGATACACATCCCTAGAGGATTTAAAAACTATAAATACATGTATTCACCATTGTAGTATTATACAGAATAGTTTCACTGCCCTAAAAATTCTCTGTGCTCTCTTCATCTCTCTCTCCCCCACTAACTTCTTCTGATCTCTTTACTATTATCATAGGTTTGCCTTTTCCAAAATATTGTGTAGTTAAAATTATATAGTTTATAGCCTTTTCAGATTGCCCCCTTTAATATAGCAATATGCATTTGAGTTTTTTCCACATCTTCTCATTGCTTGATAGCTCATTTGTTTTGGTGTTTTTGTTTGTTTTTAGGGATGGGGGTCTCACTGCTTTATCTAGTCTGGACTCAAACTCCTGGGCTCATGTAATCTTCCTGCCTCAGCCTCTCATAGCTGAGACTATAGGTGTGCCCCACTGCCTCAGCTTAATTTGTTTTTATTGATGAATAATAGTCCATTATGTGGACTTTTTTTTTTTTTTTTTTTTTGAGACGGAGCCTCAAGCTATCCCCCTGGGTAGAGTACCCTGGCATCACGCTCACAACAACCTCCAACTCCTGGGCTCAAGCGAGTCTCCTGCCTCAGCCTCGCAAGTAGCTGGGACTACAGGCGCCCGCCATAACGCCTGGCCATTTTTTGGTTGTAGCCATCGTTGTTTGGCGGGCCTGGGCTGGGGATTCGAACCCGCCACCTTAGGTGTATGTGGCTGGCGCCTTAGCTGCTTGAGCCACAGGCGCTGAGCCGACTTATTTTTTTAATAAGTATTTATAGCTACAAATTTTCATCTGAACACTGCTTTCAGCACCTTTTAGCCATAGGTTTTTGTATGTTGTGTGAAAGTACTATTTGTATAGGAAAAATAAGATAAATATTTGCTCACTTCTATTTAATTACACGTTTTGAAACTAACGAGTAGATTTTCCAGTGTACCTGGTTCTGAGTTTGCCTTTCAGTTCTGTATTTGTGTTTAGCACCTGCTCTGTGATACGGAGAGCCCTTTAAATATTTAACCTTTGCCAGCTGGCAGGTATTAAGCTTTGTCCCTAGAGGGCACTGGAGAGAGACCTCAAGAGGAAAGGGTTTTGCTTCTTGTTGCTGCTGTTTCAGTTGGACAGGCCTCTGTGGTGTGGGTAACTTCTCCATTATCTAGTGCCACAGTGCACATGACTTCCTTACTACCTGGCTATTGCAGTGTATAGTGGCCAGTAGACAGAAACTTATGGCATTCTCCACAGATGGTTTATAGTAGAGTGCCTCTGATGAGATACCTCCCCAAGAACGACTTTTACCAACACTCCAGAAGAAGAATATCTGGCAACTTCCTTGCCACCTAGTTAGCCACAGGCACATCCTCTAAAAGGCTGTGCCTCAGCTGTAGTCTGGGCTTTTCTTGGACACTCTTACCTCAGCCCTACAGGTAGTGGCTGCAACTAGATAGACTAATCCCTTATTATTCCAGCCCCCTGTTACAGTTAAGTGTCTTTAAATAAAACTTTTCCCTTTTCAAAAAAATGTGTGGTTCCTGCTCAATAAATTGGGTTCTTCTCTCCTGGCAGTACCCAAACCGATACGCTGGTAATTTTTAAAGATGACAGTAAGGTTTTTTTTTGGTGAGTTGGCCTGTCAAAATTCAGGATTTGGATTCAACAAAGAACAAAATTAATAGACATAATGGAAGAGAAAACAATTTAAGTCTCTGAAACTGACAACATACAAGAAACCATTAGCAATAAAAATACAGCAGTCCAACTGGAAAGTGGACAATGGATATGGATAAGCAATATTTTTTTTCTTTTCCTTTTTGTTTTTTTAAAGAGACTTGGTCTTGCTGATTGTAGTCTCCAATTTCTGGGCTCTATTGATCCTCCTGCTAGGACTGAGTTGCCACGACTTTGGGCAAGTGCTACTAATGCCTGGCTAATGGATAAGCAATTTAAAAAGAGGAAACCCAAAAGGCTGTCAAGAAATGTTCAAACTCATTAGTAATCAGAGAAAAGCAAATTAAAACAATAAGATATGACATCTGTTGGTTTGGGGAAAGTCTGAAAGCTAAAGAATGGTTTTATTTCAAAAATGCTTTAGGTCTGTCCCCTTCTCTCCATCACATTTGGTATCATTTCAATCTAAGGCCACTGTTATCTTTTGCATTTGCATAATACAAAAAGGTAATGGCCTGTCAGTTCCTATTCATTCTACCCAGGAAAGCAAAAGAAATCTTTTATGTATAAATCAGATATCATTTCTTTGCTTAGAGCCTTTGAAGAACATTGTTTCGGGGATAAAATCCAATATCAAGGCACAACATTCTCCCTACCTACCTCTCCAGTTTCTCCACCCACCATCTAAAGAAGTTTCAATACCTTGAACACATCAAGCTCTTTCTCTCCTCATAGCCTTTGCATATATTGTCCCTTCTGCCTAACCCTTCACATGGCTTTCTTCATTTCATTTTCCATTCTGCCCAACAAAGCCCAGCCACCTTTTCTGAACCAGATTCTGATAGCTTCTGTCATTGTTATCCTATTTCTTTTGTAACACTAACATTTTGTAATTGTTTTGTTTGTATTCCTAGTTTTCATCTCCCATCAGTGTACTCTAGCACTTAAAGCAATGCCCAAGACAGAGTATACATTAAAACATATGTGAATGAATGAATCTGTTTTGTATTATTAGGGAAGCCTGAATCAATGAATTACTTTACAACTGCATACGCTTCACACTTGAATGTGCTCAATTTAGTAATACAAATGTCATGGTATAGTTCAGACAGACTTATGTTCTACAGAATGAGATCATTTTTTTCTTAAATTTGCCCTTTAAACTGTCCTACTTGAAAGTTATTTATTCTCAAGAATTGTTTTACTTTGAGTATTTTCTCAAAGGAGTGACAAACTAAATGACAGAAAGGACATAGTCTTTTCTCAGTGGAGGAGAGTCTGTATCAAAGAATTGGGTAAAGCTTGGTGTGACACGTCCTGAACTTTTAGTTCCCCACTTGTGGTACTGGTTGAGATTAAATAAATCAGACTCTGGGAAATACTCTGTCAATGATTGTGATTGTTTCATTTAGGCCATATATGCTAGCTACACTTGGAGTAGTGGATATATGAATTCTCCCTGAAAGAAATTGATGTTCCCACTGTCAGTCACTTCAGGAAAGCCTTGGCTGAATGGGAGGTAGGGAAGGATTGTTTTTAGTCTCTGGGTTCATAATAGAGAGTTGGTAGGAAGATTCCAGAGGTTTCCATTGATGAGGATTAAGCCAGTGCTCTGTTACATGTAGGATTCTGGGTCTAAGCAGAGACTTGTGTTCAAGAACTTGGGCTCCTTGAGTTGGTTAATTTTTTTTTTTTTTTTAGAGACAGAGTCTCACTTAGTCGCCCTGGGTAGAGTGCTATGGCGTCACAGCTCACAGCAACCTCCAGCTGTTGGGCTTAGGTGATTCTCTTGCCTCAGCCTCCCAAGTAGCTGGGATTACAGGCGCCCGCCACAATGCCTAGCTATTTTTTTGTTGCAGTTTGGCCGGGGCTGCGTTCGAATCCGCCACCCTCAGTACATGGGGTCAGCACCCTACTCACTGAGCCACAGGTGCTGCCCCCTGCTAATTTTTCTAATTATGGAATTCTCATGTCCATGTTTTGGTTTGTTTTAACAAACAAACAAACAAAAAAAGCCTAAACTACTCTAGGAATAAGTTGATGTCTGAGTTGACTCCTGAGGTCCACTTAAGCTGTGTGGGTGGAAGGGCAAAGGATGTGGGGGCCAAGGCCTTTGTTCTGCTGGAGGTTTGCTGAAAATCACTGACACAAGGTTGATAAACTGGACAAAAGACATACAAATTTATTTAACATATATACACAGAAACCTTCAAAACAAATAACCCCCATTGTGGTACAGAAATTTATAGAGCATTTTGAGGTTACAGAAACAATGCAGGCTAGGAGCATGGCCACAGGTTTAGAGACAAGGCAGGTTATACCAAAGGAAGAAGCTTGGCTAAGAAAGGTGGCCTTGTTAGGTAATCAAACTAACAGGGAGCAGCTACAAGACTATTAGAGATGTCTGGACTTCTCCTGTCTTATTATTATTTTTGAGACAGAGTTTCACTATGTTGCCCTCGGTAGAGTGCTGTAGCATCACAGCTCACAGCAACCTCAACTCTTGAGCTTAAATTAAGCAATTCTCTTGCCTCAGCCTCCCAAGTAGCTGGGACCAAAGGCGCCCGCCACAACACCCGGCTATTTTGTTGTTGCTGTAGTTGTCGTTGTTTGGCAAGCCCGGGCTGAGTTCAAACCCTCCAGCCCCACTGGCCAACGCCCTAACCGCGCTAACCCGAGTCTTTCTTTTTTTATTTTAAACAAGAGTCTCACTCTGTTGCTCAGGTTAGAGTGCTGGCGTCAGCTTAGCTTATAGCAAGCTCAACTCCTGGGTTCAATCAATTCTCCTGCCTCAGCCTCCCGAGTAGCTGGACTACAGGCGAACGCCACACTAATTTTCTATTTTGGGTAGAGACGGAGTGTCGCTTTGCTCAGGCTGGTCTCGAACTCCCAAGCTGAAGTAACCCTCCCGCCTCAGCCTCTCAGAGTGCTAGCTAGGGTTACATGCGTAAGCCACCGCGCCCAGCAAGGTGTCATCTTTTTAATCTTTCCTAGATCGGGCAAGGGGAAGGCCTGGTTGTATCAAGGGCAGGGCAGTATGAGAGCACAACGAATCTCAAAAAGAAGAATACAACGATTACGCAAATACCAGCCCCTTCCTTCCTGCGATCCTCGCCACCTCCAGCTACCTGTCCCCTCCTCTAGCTGGATGCCTGGCGCATCTGTCTGACGTCAAGGACGCGCCGCGCAGTGTATATCGGCCGCGCAACCTCCTGGGCGGTCTACCGGCTTGGAGAAGTGAACCTTCCCGTGGCGCCGGAAGTCCGGGGCACGTGACCGGGTGACAGTGCTTGCTTAGCTGTAAGGCTCGCTTTAGGCTGCAGCACGGGATGGCGGAGGCGCCTCCTGTCTCAGGTAATGTCCCGACCCGCGCAGCATTGAACCCCCTTAGGTAGCGGAAATTTGGTCAGTGACTAAGTCTTAGGGCTCGGGCCATTAATATCGCGAGAATGGCGCGAGAATGGGATAGTGGCTCGCGAGGGCCAAGCCACGCGCGTGCTGCGTACAGCGGTCTCTATCATACCCTACTGGGTGGTAAAGCCCGGCAGCTAGGTTTCAGAGGAGAGCGGGCTTGTCCCGTCGCCGAGTGAATCGTTGCGGATGTCCTGCTCTCCCTTAGGGCCCTTCCTGGGGGCAGCAGCGCACTGACCTTCGACTGGCGGGCGTCGGCCGAGTCACCGCCCGTGAGGGTGGCGGGTTGTGCTTAGGTGTTCATACCAACTGGGGTAGCGGCGCAGGCGCGAGCCAAACACCAGTGACTTAGAATCTCAGCCTTCCACGAACTGTGTGTGATCTGTCAATTAGGAATAAATAAGTTAATTGTTGTGAAGGCTCCTGCCCTGTACCTTTTCTGTTCTTAATTGTTAACTGCTTCCCCACTCGGAGTTGCCTCTGTGTGTATAGGCAGCTCATTTGGCTGTTAATATGACATTTATTTTCATTCCCTTCAAGGAATGTAGGTAGACAGTCCCAAAGGGAAATATTTTGCATCACAACTTTAGTGCACACTTACATAAATACAAAAGCAAACCAAAAATTTCAGGAAGCAACCATGGTTTCCTTTACTATCTGTAATGTCCTCTATTTTCTATTTCATTTTTAAAACTGCTTGTCACAACCCACTACATTGATTTTATGATCCACTCTTTCTGGAAAATAAGGCAGCAATTTGCAGCATGGGATTTGGAATTTCATTGATTTGAATCTAAGTTTTGCTACCAACCAACTGTTGAGCACCAAGAAGACTATTTGTATTTGTGTTTTGAGTGGCAAGTAAAATGATTTTACTACTTGGTTCTCAATTTTAAAAGTTAGAAGCACACTGCATTGTTGTACCCTAGTCCTGTTTTGAGTATTAAGTCATCTTCAGAGGTGGAAAATTTTTTAGGCTGGTGTTTTGTTCTTCTCCCCATCTAGTCCTTCACCAGATCCTCTGAACTGTATCTGTTGATCTTCACATCCACAGACTCCTGACCCATGAAGCAGAAATGGGTGGGAGCTAGCTGTGAGTCATAGTGTTGATTTCTGGTGGGACTACAGGCACCTGCCACAGCGGCTGGCTATTTTTTTGTTGTAGTTGTCATTGTTAGCTGCCTTGGTCTGGGTTCAAACCCACCAGCTTGGGTGTATGTGGCTGGCGTCCTACTCACTGAGGTATGGGTGCTGCCTCTCATTCAGTTCTTTACTGTATGTTTCCATGGTACCTGCTGCCCACCTTTGTCAGTGTAATGTGATGTAAAAGCAAAATCCAATGCCGCACATCCTGAGTTGGAATCTTGAGTCTGCTTTGGAATACCTTGTAGCCTTAAGCAAGTTACTTTATCAATGCCTCAGTTTTCTTTTCTTTTCTTTTTTTTTTTAAAATGGAAATTGTGGGGAGGGGGTCTTTTTGTGTTGCCCAGGCTGATCTCAAACTCCTGGCTTCAAGTGATCCTTCCATCTTAGGTTCCCAGAGTACTGGGATTATAGGCATTAGCCACTATGCCCAGCCAATGCTTCAGTTTTCTTATCAGGATTGTGCCTGGCACATATTAAATACCTGTTACAAGTTAGGCCTTATTATTAAACCAAAAATATTCAGGCTCTGCACTGCACCTATCTATGCTCAAGACTGTGTTCCAGGTAGTCTATAGTTGTAACAGCAATAATAAAGTACTTTTTTAACAACCTTTTTTTTATGTGCCAACTCAATGTTTAACCACTTTACACTTGTTATTACCTTCCTTTAACTCTTCATAGTAACTCTTAGATGTAGGGATTATTACTGTCTCCCTTATGTATAAGAAAACTGATGCTAAGTAACTTGCACAAAGTTATAGTAGGTGATGGATAGGGACTTGAACCTATGTCTTCCAGGCCCTGTCAATTCATACTCTATATGTTGCATATATGTGGTTGTACAGTTAAGTTTGTGAACTCATCCTAGAAAATGTGCTGCTGCATACCTCATTGCTGAATATGGTCACCTTCAAAGGTACTCCCCTTGGGAAGCTATGCGCTGATGCCAGCGCCTAGTCCAACCCCAAAGCACTTTTTCTAGGATGAGTTCATGAACATAATTGTTAGACCTCATACAATAGCTCTAATAGCCATTCCAGAAAAAAGAGTTCTAAAACAGCTTTGAAGGGTAGACCAGGCGCTGGTGTTGGTACATAGCTTCACTAAGGGAGTACTTCAAAGGCAACCATAGTGTTATTCAGAAATGAGGTCTGTAGTACTGTTTCTAGGATAAGTGTGCATACTTGTCTGGCCTTGTAGCTCTAACTTAGCTACCAGCTAATTTTGTGTCTTTAGGCAAATCATTTCATTTTGGGGCTTTAGGAACTGAGTTGACTATCCAAGAAGCATCTTGGGAGCAGGGGAAATGAGTGGGTTAAAGGGGAGTATGCTTAATTTTTTGACTGGGAAACCTAGATTATGTTTAGAGGTTGTGTATTAAAAAACCTGTAATATATTCCTAGGGGGAGGAGATGAAAACTAATATATTAACTAGGTCCTATCTATGAAATCTTATTTAAACTTTGAAATCAGTATTATTAGCCTTTATCATGGATGGAGACACTAAGGCTAAAAGTGATCAAGTGAATCCCTAAGCTCATACTGTAAGTTAGAGGGCAAGACTTAGAACCCATTTTTGGCTTACCAAAAAGCCTGTTTACTTGATATTACACAATGCTACTTTGGACTTTTGAAAGACCACATGGAACCTAGTCATTGATGTCTCATCCCTGAGCTGTTAACTGACCTTAAGTTTTTTTAATAAAATAAACCCATGTATACATAGTGTTTTGTGGCCCATGTGAGTGTTTTTACTCAGCAATACACTTAGCTGTCAGAGACTAGTGGTATGTGCTGACATGAAATGATTGAGTCCTCCATAGGCACCTTCACAGAAAACATAGGTCTCAACTAAAAGCTTGTTTTATACAAAGTCCTTAGGAAATTTTTATTTATTTATTTATTTAATAACTGACTGAAAGAGAGTGTCACTCTCTTGTCCCAGACTAGAGTACCATGGAATCAGCCAAGCTTGCAGCAACCTCAAACTCATGGGCTCAAGTAATCCTTCTGCCTCAGCCTCCTAGAGTGCTAGGATTATAGGTATGAGCTGTTGTGCCCAGGTGGAAAACAATTTTTAAATGTGGCTTAGAATCTGTGGGCTTTTTTTTTTTTTTTGAGATGGAGTCTACCTTTATTGCCATCAGTAGAGTGCTGTAGTGTCACAGCTCACAGCAACCTCCAACTCCTGGGCTTAGGTGATTCTCTTGTCTCAGTCTCTTGAGTAGCTGGAACTACAGGCACCCACCACAACACCCAGCTGTTTTTTTGTTGCAGTTTGGCCAGGGCCGAGTTTGAACCTGCCACCTCCAGCATATGGGGCTGGTGCCCTACTCCTTTGAGCCACAGGTGCCGCCCGAATCTGTGGGCTTTATGAGTAAAGATGCCTGCCTGCCTGTCTGCCTTCCTGCCTGCCTGGCTTCCTTCCTTCCTTCCCTTCCTCCCTCCTTCCTTCCTTCCCTATTTCCTTCCTCCCTCCCTCCTTTCTCCCTCCCCTCACCTTGGTAGAGTGATGTGATGTCCCTGCTCACAGCAACCTCAGACTCTTAGGCTCAATGATTCTCTTGCCTCAGCCTCCTTAGTAGCTGAGACTATAAGTACCTGCCGTGATGCCAGGCTATTTTTAGAGGCAGGGTATCACTTTTGCTCAGGCTAGTTTCCAACTCCTGAACTCAGGCAGTCTACCCACCTCAGCCTCCCAGAGTGCTAGGATTATAGGCATGAGCTACCACACCCAGCCAAAAATTAATTTCTTTACTGACATGTCTATTTCTTTGTCCTAGGTACTTTCAAATTCAATACGGATGCTGCTGAGTTCATTCCTCAGGAGAGAAAAAACTCTAGTCTAAACTGTGAGACTCGAAGGAGACTAGACTCTAATAGGATCAGTAGAAGAAATTACAGTTCGCCACCTCCCTGTCACCTTTCCAGGCAGGTGCCTTATGATGACATCTCTGCTGTTCATCAGCACAGCTATCATTCTTCAGGAAGCAAACTTAAGAGTCAACAGATTTCTTTCCATTCCTCTGCTTCTAATAAATTACCCAAGAGCCATGGCCTTCAGAGTCAACCTTGGCAGAAATTGAGGAGTGAGAAGCACTCTAATAGAGTCAAAAAAGCACAAGGTCTCACTGACCAGACCTCAGATACAGCTGGCTTAGAAAGCGTGACCAGATCAGAGAGTGGAACAAACCCCAGAGAACACAGCCCTTCTGACAATGAGAAGGAAGCTACTGGTGCAGATCCCAGGGGGGCAAAACCCAAAAAAGCAACGCAATTTGTATACAGCCATAGTAGAGGACCAAAAGTCAAGGGGAAACTCAAATGTGACTGGGGTAACAGAATGACTCCCAAACCTGAGGATGCTGGACTTGAAAATGCCAAAGTTGTGGGGGGTTTCCACCCTGACTCTTCAGATGCATCTGTTAAAAAAGGGGTATTGGATGGATATGGACCCAGACGAAATGATCAGAGAAGATACCCACAGAAAAGACCTCCCTGGGAAGTGGAGGGGGCCAGGCCACGACCAGGGAGGAACCTATCAAAACTGGAGGGCCAACGGCATACAAATGTAGGACCCAGAAATAACGTGGCCCCCATTCCAAAGGATAATCTCAATGAAAGACCAACAAAATCTGCCTGTGACAGTGGGAACTTGACAGTCATCAAGTCTTCCAGAAGGGTTGACCAAGAAAAATGCACTGTACGGAGGCAGGATCCTCAAGTAGTATCTCCTTTCCCCCGAGGCAAACAGAACCATGTGCTAAAGAATGTGGAAACGCACACAGGTAAACCTACCTAGATGGGTATAATTATTTTAGTCTTTTTTATTTTAAATAAGTAACATATTATGCAATTCAGAAACTAGAAAGTATAAAAAGGTACATGGTGAAATGTTCCTTTCCACCTTTATTCACCATTTGTCTGGATTCTACCTGCTACTCTTCTTTCCAGTAGGTAATCAGTTAGTTTTGTACATATTATAAGCAAATACAAATAAGGATTTTTGTGAGTTTTTTTGTTTAAATGCAAACATGGGTGGTATAGATGTCTGGTTATAAGATTTTTTTGATTCTTGAAAGTGCAAGTAGGGGATCCTGACATCCCTACTGCTTCTGTTGGTTTCATCCTGCATCATCTCATGGGCCTTATCCTGTCTGCTCAGTCACAGAGCTCTAACTGTTCCCACCATCTCTTAATTTCTCTCTTTCAGTTCATCTCTTATACCAGGAGTAGAGAGTGATTTTTCCAAAACATTGAACTGTGTCACTCTCCTGCTTAATTCTGTTTGGTTCTCATCACCTATATGCTCTGACTTCTGCCGTACTCAGCAGTCCGATCTGCTGCTGCCTCAGTATTCACCACATTTTTTTTCCTGTTTTATCTTTTCATGCTGTTGCATGCAGCTCCTTCTGTCCAGAATTTGTCACTCAGCTCACTGGTGAATTCTTACTCATTTTTCAAAAACTACTTTAGTCACATGTTCAGGAAACTCTCACCACTGTAGATAGCATTAATCCCAGCCATTATATATATATATATATATATATATATATATATATGGTCTGACAATTAAGTTTGCAGACTCGTCCTAGAAAAAGTGCTACATACCTCATTGCTGAGTATCACTATGGTTACCTTTGAAGTACTCCCCTTGGGAAGCTGTGCACCACGCCAGTGCCTAGTCTGCCCTTCAAAGCTATTTTGGAACTCTTTTTTCTGGAATGGCCGTTAAAGCTGTCACCATATTACCCTTGATATTCTGAATGTCATCAAAATGTCTTCCTTTCAATATTTCCTGTATCTTTGGGTAAAGAAAAAAATCATTAGAGGCTAGGTTAGGTAACTCGAGAGAGGGTTTCAATACAGTTATTTGTTTCCTAGCTACAAATTCCCTTCCAGACAGTGCCATGTGATCTGGTGCATTGTTATGATGTAAGAGGCATGAGTTGTTTGCCAAGATTTTTAGTTAAGATTTTCCTGTTTATCCATGTTTACTTAGTCTGCTGTGCTTTTCACAGTCAGCAGATGATTTTTCATCAGTTCTGCTAGTTACTGGCTGCCCTGACCTCTCTTCATCAGGGACATTTTCTCTCCCCTCAGAAAAATGTTTAATTCATACATACACTGCGATTTTCTTCATGGCATTATCCCCATAGACTTGGAGTAACATGTCCTTGATTTCACTTCCACTCTTGCCATGTTTAACAAGAAATTTATAAATGTTTGTTTATTGTTCTAATTCAAGCTCTGACATTCTTGCCACAGCCTGTGAAAACACAACAAAAATAATGAAGGCCATTCATCAAGACACCACCATATGTCAATACTAACACAACTGTGAGACACTGATATACCACGATTACAATACCTTACTGAGTTGTTTGTACAATGCTGCCAACGTAAGCACATGGGGGCAAGTTCACAAACTTAATTATCAGAACTTTGTGTGTCTTTCTCTTACATATACATGCTTCTATTACAGAATTTACTCCTAGAAACTATAATTTATGTGTTGGTGCCTTCCACTAGTCTGTAAGCTCCTATTCTTTTTTAATTTCCGAATTTTATTCAGACTGTAAACCTTTGGATTGAAAAAAATTCAATAAACCCCAAACAGAATAAACAAAGTTCCAAACCATATAAAACCAATCACTGCATTATTTAGGAATCAATGCATATATGATAAGAACAATAAATAGCACAGACAAGATTAATCAAAATTCAGGATAGCAGTTAGCTCTGGAAAGAAAAATGGACAACTCAAAGGCTTTAATTGTATTAGCAAATTTTTTTTCTCAAGTGACCTAAGAGGTAAATATACATTTATTTTTATTACCATTCAAATAGAACACATACGAAATATTTTTGCATGTGTGAAAAATATCACAATAAATAAAAAATTAATGAAATTCATGCATCCTTTTTCTGTGTTATTTATAACACAAGCCAGTAACTTGGGAGTCACCCTTGACCATGCTCTCACCTACCAAATCTAATTATCACTTCCTACCCTGGCTGAAGCCACCTTTGAAGTACTAAAATCCATTCCTATCCCTTAAACCACTGCTCTAATGCAATTTCCAAACTGCAGCCCAGGAAAATACCTTCAAACAGGATTAATTTCATCTCTCTTGCTGTAGAAGCAACAGACAAGCAAAGTGCCCAAGGCTACGTGGCCAGAAATGGCAGAGGGAGGATTCAAATCCTGCCATTTTTAGTTAGGAGTTAAGGTCTTACCTACCCACCATCCCACCTTGGGTGATGCTGAAAAGGTTCAGCACTGCCTCACATAGGGTAACTAGGGTAAAGACAGATTTATTTCAGTCACCCCCTCACCTCCTTTATCTAAGTCCTTATCCAGACTCTGAACTCAAACCACTTTCCAAGAACTACTTTCCTAACACCCCTACACGATGACAGCAAATCCTAGTATCTGCTCTCCCAGTTCTTCATACCTTTCTACTAACATGTCCTCCAGTAGACTGTGACCTCTACAAGAGCAAGGGTCTGCTTAGCCCACTGCTTACAAAGCACCTTGCCCCATCCTAGTTCCTCTCTCTGTCCATTCCTTAGTGAATGATAGTTCACCAATGACAAGATCTCTTATCTTTCTTTCCAACTATGGGCAATCTGGTCTCTGACCCCACCCTCAGGGCTGTGTATGAGCCAGATAGGGGAGGAAAGAGACCTGCCCTGGCCGACCAATCCGAGATGGCCTGCTCCATGGAAAAGAATGAAAGAGATGTTAGGTACTCAAGACTTCAATCCCTGGGGCCAGGGAATGGATCACAAACAAGCCCCTTCTGCCCTTGAGTTTCATTTTTATTTTTCATTTACACATAAATATTTATGCTTAAATCTTTAATGCATAGGCTGGCTGGGCACCAGTGGGGGTGCAATTGGGGGGTGGCTACACTCAAGCACTGGGGAGCTGGGCCATGGCCTCCCCCCGTCCCCCAGACTCTAGCTTCTCCTCTCTAAGGTGTGCTGAGCTCCACTCTCCCTGCCCCAAGACAGCCAGGGGAAAAGGAAACAGCCCCAGTAGATCTACCTCTTCCTGTTCCTCTAGCAGCATGTTGTGTCACCTCAATCCCAGCAAGTCCTGAGCTCCAAGCGTCTCCTGGACAAGGACTGAGGGCTCAGCACAGCTTAAACCCCCTGCCTGTGTTTTTTAAATGATGTCCTCTCCCCTCACTCTGGGCCTGGGTGGAGGGCACCTGGATATCTACCTCTGGTACACTGAGGCCACTAATGACACAGACCAAGGCTGCCAAGCAGTACATGGTCAGGGTAGGAGTACAAGGGCAGAGGCAGGCACAGCCAAGGCTTTGGGGCTTTCCCAGAGGCCCAGAATGGTCTTCAGAGATCCAACTTCTGCCCTTGGTAGCACTGAGCATTCAGAATCCTCTACTCCATAACAGAGGCAGGGTGCCTGCAGGCACCTCTGAACCCCTAGTGTGCCACACAGGTCACAGCCATATCCCACAAACAGAAACTCCCACAAGTCTTCAGGTCTAACTCAGGCACCTCCCTGAGAAGTCTGTCTTCCCTGGCACATCCTGTAGTTGTCTTCATACTCCTCACCATGGATCCCCACAGCCTTGCAGCTCTCTGTGTGGTGAGCTCAAAAAATACTTGGTGAATGAATGAACTTGAGGCTGGCTTTCCTCTGAGCAGTTGCCAGATCCGGTGTCCTCAGTCTAGAATCCTCTTCCCTCTTCATTCAGCTGCATCAGTTTATTTCAACATTTGAGGGATTACTAGACATTGTCACATTACTGGGTTCAAGGGTCACCTCTGCTAGAAAGCTTTGCTGACCCTCCTGTTTAGCAACTTCTCTTCCCCTAGGCTACCGCACTAGGGGAGCCACTCAACCCTTATGCCAAGATGATCCCTTAAGCATAGAAACAAGACCTGATTCATCATGTCTCTATGCTTGGTGCAAGCTGGGTTCAGGAAACACCTACAGAAGGCACCATCTCTTAGAGGAGAGACCACCTCAGGAACAGATATGTCTGCACTTGATAACTTGGCCAAGTTCTCTTCTTAGGCCTGCCAAGTCCAGAAACAAAGTACTGAGTACTTTGTACTTCTACAGAGTACCTCAGTTGTCATGGTAGTCAACCCCCAGGGGAGAGCAGGGCAGGATCAGCTCTTTAAAATCTGGTGCTTGGTTTTAGGTACCTGTGGTGGGTTGTGGTAGTTGAGGAGGCTTGTCCTTATCTGTTCCAGTCCAGTGTCCTCCTCAAGTCACCAAAGAGACGAGCTGCTCAAAAGCAGGCAGGATCTGGGGGAGGACCACCCATCTGTCTCTTGTGGACCTGTGGGTCTGAGGGTCCTGGCATCTGCTGATGAATCTTTCGGTGTTGCCTAAGATGGTCAGATCTCATGAATTTTCGGCCACAGTGATCACATTTATATGGTCCATATCTGCTGTGTATCTGCAGATGTCATGCAAGCTCATCAGAATGGTAGAAAGCCAAGACAGCCTTCCCAGAAGCATTTGTAGGGCTTCTCCTGTGTGTTTATGCTGTTGAGTCACAAGGTGGGAGCACTTGGTATAAGCTTTTCTACAGTTCTCATATGGGCAGCAGTAAGGCCTTGGAGCTAAGCATCTGCCTCTGTGAGCCCCTTCCCCAGAGTTTAGCTCTGCTTTCTGGGTAGACGGGTGTGCAGCCAGACCTGGGCTTAGCTCCTCAATCTCCTGCTCCATGGCAACCTGGGGTCAGCGGCACATTGGCTGTGTGGGGTCCAGGTGAACTTCAGAGCCAGCCAGTGAGGCGTG